GGGGGTAACACAACTTATTTTGATGTTTTGACGTGGTTAGGTTTGAAATATTTTCGAAAATAATTGATTTGCGACAGTTTTAGTGGCTGATTGTGATCTGCAGCAAATAATACTGCAGCACAGTTTGACCCTCAAAGCAGTGCATCGGTGTGCGAGAGTGAAAGTAAAAATTTACCCAGTCACCAAAACAGAAGAATTATTTTAAGATACAGCTGATCTTATACTCTTAGGTTCTCTCTTGACTGGTGCATCTCTGGCAGACCTCACACACTTGTAATAAAAGAGCTACTTTTATTCTTTATCATTCCATTTATGAGCAAGCAAGTGAAAGTGGAGCTCATGGCATAGCTTGTTTGCCTTTTATCCATATATCAATGTCAGGGGTGCACAGTACTGCATGAGGTAATACAGTCGAACCTGCCCTGATGGCCACCTCTATAAGACGGCCACCTGTACAAACGGCCACTTTCCATTTCCCCCCTTGCGTTTTTTCTATATATAATTTAACTGTGTAAAACGGGCACCTGTCCAACGCGGCCGCGGCCACCATATTTTAACACAATCCGTATCACACTAAGCAATAACACCTGTCTTAGACGGCCACCTTCGTGACTCCATTTCGTTTTGTCAATTATTGTGCATTGACCCCTGGCGTTGTGGGCGAGCCGTCATAATCTAATCACCTGTCGTTGTTGTTAGGTAGTTCCTCTAACCGATCATGTTGCGAAGGCCCCTCCCACTGTTGACCAATAGCTACCAATTTTCAGCTGCTGGTGAGGGAAGCGTGTGATCCCTCAAAACCCATAAGCCCCGCCCAGAACTCATACACAAATCGTAGGTGAGAAAAGTGGTCACTGTTTACCCAGTCAGTAACGAAGTAACAAAGGACGTCAACATGGACTTGTGACAGAAGCGTCGCTCGTTTTTCGAGTGGTGGCGACCCATGTTTGTTTTACCATAGCACTCGGTCCTCCTTGTCTGACACATTTCATTTTATTGTCACCCTTGCACAAAATCAGAAACAAAATAAAAATAACAAACAAAATACAAACCAACAACAACAACAAAAACAACAATAATGCGGCTACTTTCGATTCGGAATGGGCTTTGTTTTCTTCATCTTGATCATTCCTGCCTAAGACGGCCACCTGTCTTATACGGCCACTTTTCTCCTTGACAATGGGTGGCCGTCTTACACAGGTTTGACTGTATATATATATGCACTTTCTAATATAAAAGGACCTGACATTACAACTATAACGAAGACCATTGAATCATCAAAAACTAGACTTATGGTTCTAGAGGTAGACCTAGAGATCTAGACTCTAGAGTCTAGATCTAAATGTAGATCTAGTCCAAGGCCTAACTAGAATCTCTAAATCTAGATCTAGATTACAAAGACAAAACACACACATTCATTATGTTTACTGCTAGATGTATATATCTAGATCTAGAATCTAACTCTAGACAAAATCAAAAAGACATCAAGACCAAGATCATTTAAATCAGCAGGGAAGAATAGGACAGCTAAACAACAGTTACAGCTACACACTAGATCTAGATCTACGTACAAGACTACACACGTACTGACAGACTTCACTGCTAACTACTGCAGACCTCCCCCCAGCCCTTGATTATTATCTACGGCTACGGCAAGCCTACCTTGACTCCGGTGGCCTCTCAGCTGACAGTGGCAGGCCCAGCGAAAGGCCGTGTTGAATTGGCCTAGATTCTACGTCTTCTACAGAATAACAGCAGAAGAACAATGAAACGTACAGACCCTCCAGGAGGATATTTTTGCTCTCAAAGAGCTTTAACTTCTTGCAGTGATCCCGTTACTGCAAAATAACGCGACGATCCGCTCTCCTCGGAGCACAACAGCCTGACTAAAACAAGGAAACAGGAAGTAAAACAAGATGATAAACATCACGATCGGGAGTTCAGCTGCGTCCTCGCATCATTTCGTTTATTTAGGGTGTATTTGTGCGATATATTTTTTTTCGCAAAATTGGTCAGAAAATTATTGTTTACTGAATTCTCAATATTTACACCGTAAAATCAAATACAGAAAAAGAAGGATCTTTCTTATTTTTCAGGGTTTTTTTATAACCTCAAATTGTACAATTTAAGAAACAGAAAGTGTGGCTGGTTTTTCCACAGAAAGATGCTGGGCAGTCATAAAGGATGATTTTTTTTTCTGGGGGATATGAGAGGAGTGGTGGGGGTGGAGGGGTTAGGCCTATTGCTTTCCCCCTTACTAAATAGATCTTTCTCAGAAACCTCCTGAAACTATGAAAACGTTTTTATTTATGTTATTTTCTCTTTTATATTGTTATTTTCTCTTTATGTT